CCCTTGCTGTCCTGGAACTTCTCTGTAGACCAGGCTGGCCTTGAACTCAAGGGATCTGATTGCCTCTGCCTCAGAGTGCCAGAGATTACAACTGTGCATCGCTACCACCCAGCTTGAGAGTGATTTCTTAATTGGCTTTACTCCTAGCTACTTGGGAATACAGGCCCTGGGATGAGTTTTTCCAGTTACCGCAACCAAATAAATGAACTCTTGACTTGTATCTTAACTAGTAAGATTAGCTATTACAAGGTCCTCTCCCTTTTGCATTCATGGCCACCTCAAGGTTATTTCTTAACCTCTATACAAATAGAATGGAGTCTCTCACCAGGAAGCAGAGCTAGCCACCGGTGTAGAGCCGGGGGCAGTCTAGCTGCCGCTCTCTGGGCTACCGCTACAGAAGGGTTGAAGTCAAGGGCACTTATTGCGGATTCAGGTAGACCGGAATTTCTTGTTCTCAGGAAAATCTGGTCTCTTTGGAGGGAAGTATCTATTTCCTTGGGGTTTCACCTTGATTCTACAGCGTTTAATATGAGCAGTTACATTCTGGTTTGGTCCAATCTGTTAGGACCAAATGCAGCAATAAGCTCAAAAATCAGCCTCCTGTGATTTCTGTTTAACAATCCCGGGGTGTTCACAGATTGGAATAGTAAAGGCTCCAGCTGATTATATAGTGGGAAGGCCATAGGTCTTAATGCTAATATCCAAATGAAAAGTTGAACTTTTTGTTTGTTATGTAACTGTTTCCAAGCCTCAGATTCTTCATGTCTAAACTGATAATACATCTTTTAGTGTTTTAGGGAAGATGAAAACAGACAATTATGTGATAACAGCCATTTGAGGGGATCAATAAATGAGAGTATTTCCTTTCCCACAAACCATGATTTCATGAAGATTGTAGCACACATTTCCCAGTGTGCGTGTATGAGTGTGTATGTATATGTGTTTCTGTGTACATTTGCATGTGCAGGTGTGTGCGTGCCCTGGGAATGCAAGAGGAGGGCATTAGGTACCTGGCTGTCCCTTTCCATCCTATTACCTCGCGACAGGTCTCTTGTGCTGCACCTGGAGCTCAGTGCTTTTTGACTAGCCCAGCTGGCCAGCAAGGCCCAGTGACCCTCCTGTCTCTGCCACCCAGACTTAGCGTGTGCAATGTCTGTGCTGGGGTCCAGACTCAGGTCTTCACGCTTACGGAACGAGTGCACTTGGTCACCCAGCCATCCCTCCAGGCCCTATTTCTACACGTCTACTGAGCTATCTATTCATCTCAGGAAGAAAAAGAAAGGGCAGAGCAGAGAGGAAGAAAGAAAGGTTGAAAGAGAAGTCATGTTATAAACTCATGGATATTAATCTTTTCATTACAAAACTCTTTACACTTGGGCCTTCTCAATCCTTTCTTATCTCATTGCCCATCAGGCTCCTACACTCTCTCTCCCAGAGGTGACTTGAATGCAGGCAAGTTTTAATATTACCACAAGCAAAATGTAATTAGGGGAGTAAAGCCGGGCCCAGATGGGCTCCATTCATTATGGAGTTGGTATAAAATATGGCTTTGAGATGTTATTGGCAGTGTGGCATTTGGGGGTCACCAGGGCCTGCAGCCAGCTCTGCACTGTGTTTGCTGATCTGACTCGGCCGTTGTTTGTGTTTGCTAAGAAGACTGCAAAAATATCACCTTCCAGACTCTTCTCTGGGCTGACATAATGTTCTTTCAGTGTTCACCCACTGCCCTGCTCAGGGAAAGCCACACAGGAGAGTCCGAACGTAACTTAGTTATAGCCTCAGATGCGTACTGCTGGGTTTTGTTGTTGTTTTGATTAAAACAAACAAACAAGGAAATCGTGTAGCCCAGGCTGGCCTAGAACTTCCTCTGTAGCTGAGGATGATCTTGAATTCCTGATCCTTCTGCCAAGTGTTAGGATTATAGGCATATACCACCACATACATATATCATCAAACCCAGGGTCCTGTGCATGCTGCCAACTGAGTGACATCCCAAGCCCACGTGCAGGGCTAACTCCTGAGAATTGAAATCCTCTGATCTCCCCAAAGGATGCTGAGCCGCTTTCTCTCCTTTTCATCCCCGCTTGTTATTCTGGAGTTACCTACAGGGCTACCATCTTCAAATATTTCCTTAGATCACAGTATACTAATTTTTAATTTCATTTCATTTAAAGACTCTTCCCTTTGACTCACCATATCAACAGTGCTATTAATCTGCAATATAATCAATCAGATGTGGATGTGTTTTGGAGAAGTCTTCAATATCTCCTGAGACAAATGGGCTGATCACAAAAAAGCTCTGAGCCTGTGCAAAAAAAAATAAAATAAAATAAAAATAAAAAAAAAACAGCACTCTGGAGATTCCAGGCTGTGGCATTTTAATAGCTTCCCAATTGGAGGAAACCCGAGGAGAGCTTTCTCACGTTTTCTCTGTGTCCACTGAAAACCCAGTTGTTCTGTTTCTTGCAAGGTCAGGATGCTGTTTACTCTGGGTAAACATGACAAGCTCTGGCTTGGTGCTCTCCATCCAAGAACAAGCAAGTTCCTTGAGTGTCTTCTTTACCTTCTGAAATTAGAGGGGCCGGTCTTCCCAATGCACACTAGAGAGAGCACACAGATTAAAATACCTTTCATTTTAATTTGATTCAAAACTTAAAATTACAAGCTGCTCTATATTTTAGCTTCAGGCAATTCGTCTGCCTTACATATGGAGAATCTCTCTCTCTCTCTGTCTCTCTCTGTCTCTCTGTCTCTGTCTCTCTCTCTCTCTGTCTCTGTCTCTCTCTCTCTCTCTCTCTCTCCCCACCTTCCCAGAACCAGTATCCCAGTATCCCATGTACAGTGCTTGCAGGGTCTCCTCCTAAAGGCATTCATCTTTTCATAGTTGGAGACCCCGCAAGGATGAATACTCACATATCATCCTAAGTCATCATTCTTTCTACATCATCTTTCTAAGATTTTACCCAGCAGATGTCAAAAACAGCCTTACGCTTTAACACACAGTAGCCTTAGGAATTTCTGTCTTGCATGGCTGGAAGGTCAAATGTCATGAGACATTACTCTAGCCCTTGGTACCTGGAGAAGAGAGTCTGAAGGGCTGGGTGAGATGCCCACACGCCCTGCAGCTCCAGTGATGCTGCTCACTTGGCCCGTTCATTTCCCTTAGTTTCTTTCCCATGAGCACCCCTCCTCTCTCTGCGCTGCTGATGTCCTCTTTAGGGAATGGGAGATTAAGTAGGCAGAGGCACACCGCTGAAGACATGGCCACTCCATGGTATGGCTAAGGTTTTTATTGCAGATATGTGAGAGAGAACAGCCAGAGGCATCTGGAGGCGCCCAGCAAAAGGAATAGACTGAATGTGGCCAGCAGATCGCACATGACTAGGGGTTACCTGCAAGAGGGGGAGAAAGCTTAGTGGGATATGGCAGAAGCAGGACCGAAAGGGGGAGAAACAGCGGGTACTGCTGCATTGTAAGAAGGGGGAGCAGCTGCAGGGAGGGAAACCCACAAGCTGGAGGAAGTGAGAAAGGCTAATATGCTAACGTGGACTTTTGAAGTGCTGATAGTCATCATCTATACATGCTAATTGCAGAGTCATCTGTCTCTTTAACTGGAGGAAAGGGAAATGACCACTTTGGGTAGATGGAAATATGTTTCATCAGTTCCTGAGGAATGCTGGCTTTTATCTATCCACCAGAAATCCTTCTGAAGTCCAAGTTGAGCTGGGTCTAGACTCAGTTTTGGATGAGTCAGTAGGCCTGCCCTTTTGAGGGTGTCCCCTTTGAACCTGACACGGATGAAATCTATCACGGGCTGAGGCAACTGGCCAGGGATGGCCAAACTCCGCAGCTAGTCTGTACATCACACAGGATCTGTCCGTCCCCAAGCCTTGCAGTCACGGGGAGTGGAGACACAACTACATGGAATCATGCAGCTTAAGGGTCAAGAAGCAACCCATCAAGGCTTTGGAGCTGGAACACACAGTCGGGGCTAGGAATCAGCTCAGAAGATAGAGTTTGTTACGCTGGAGAGAGCAGCTCAATGGTGCCCCAGAGAGCAGGATGCTGATGGGCAGGGAACTGGCCTATTCTTCTTGGAAGAGATGTCTGGGGGCTGTGAGAGGCCGTAGGGACCTGGGTAACGAGTGAGCTGGTTCAGGTTGAAACATTGCTTCCACCACCAGATGCTTCATTATTCTCTTCCTGCTAATTGTGGCTGCAAATCCAGCAACAACTTCCCCACAATAGCTAGCAATTCTAAGTACATGTACACATTTGAGAGTTCACAGGTGGTGCTCAAGTCTTCTGCAGTCAAAATTATCATAGGAATTTGTGTAACTTCTTTATTGCAGGAGCTGAATTGGGTAGAATGCAATCAAAAAATAGCTCTAGTTTTTCCCCATCACTGTCTGTAACACACTTGACCGTGTGTGTGTGTGTGTGTGTGTGTGTGTGTATGTGTGTGTGTGTGCATGCGCGCACACGTGTGTATGTGCATGTTGGGTTGGATGTCTTTACTTTTTTTTTAAAAAAAAAGTTTATTTATTTTGTATTTTATGTATATGAACCTTTTGCTTGTGTGTATGTATGTGTACCACATGTGTGCCTGTTGTCTGCAGGGGTCAGAAATAGGCATTGGATCCCCTAGAACTGGATGTATAGATGGTTGTAAGCCCTCTTGTGGGTGCCGGGAGATGAACCCATTTAAGAGGAACAAGTGTTCCTAACTATCTCTCTTGATCCTTTTATTTGGAGACACAATCTCTCCCTAAACCTGGAGCTCACTCATTGACTAGACTGGCTGGCCAGCAAGTGCTAGGTATTCCCCTGTCTCTGCTGCCCAAGCTCTGGGATTATAGCCACATGCCTCTGGGCTCAGTTTTTATTTAAGTGTTGGGAATTGACATAAGGCTGTGTTACCCATCAATCAAAACACAGTTTACTCTAAAGCTTAATGGTTTAAAACAATAAACATTTATTACCTAATTTCTGTGGGTCAGGAACTCAGGAGCAGTTTGGCTGTACCATTCTACCTCTGAATCCACCACGATGTTCCAGTCAGGACGATGACCAAGGCTGGGATCGTCAGAAGACTTGACGGAGGATGGAGGGTCGACTTTGAAGGCCTCTCACACAGCCGACTTGGTGAGTTAATGCTGGTTACCAGTGCGAGTTTCTGTCTTTCCTCACCCGCGCCTCTCCATAGGACTGTTTGAGTGTCCTCATGACAAGGCAGGGGCTTCTCCCATAGTGAGCCATCAGAGAGACCCCAACATGGAAGCTGGGTGCCTTCTACAGAGTCACTGATGTGTTAACAGTGCCCCCTATTGGTTGCATGGATCAGTTTTAGATACCTGTTGGTGGGGGGTTAGAATTACTGAGGGTGATTGAGGTGGCTGGCTCTTCCAGTTTGTTATCTGATTCCTGTCCCTCACACATGTGAAACACACCTGTCCTTTCTGGGCTCAGCCCAGTATCTTACCATCTGAGTTGGGTCCAGAGGCGGATGAGACCCCTCAGGGTATCAGTCCCTTTGTACCTGAAGCTCTGTGACTAAAGACATATCTTCCACCCCTCCTACTTCTGACACAGAAAGATGGACTGTGTAGGATGGCAGCTATGGAGTTCTCCATTTTGAATGGGAAACAGGAGGCAGTTTTCAGTCCAACCAGACAGATGCCGGAAATGCTCTGATTAGGATTCAAATTGACTCTGTCCTGGGAGCGACTGTCCCTGGCTTTGGTCTGTGAGACCTGGTATTTCTGTTCTGCCTTCTGACCTCCCCAAGTACATCAAAAGGTAACATATTTTTGCAGTAGAGAGGTACCCCCTCCTCTTTCCTGACTATCAGAGTTGGTGTATCCGAAGGTGGGTTTTGTTTTAATGTCTTATGGTTTCTGTACCTTCATTGCAACCCTGTAGAGTTTCTGGTAATGTGTGTTTCCCAAACTTTGTACATTACCTGCACAAGGCTTCATTCATTCCTTTAGGCAAACGCTACACCAATCCATTTCTTTAAGATAAGTCTCTCTTTATAGTAGGGCTTTGCTGAAACAGCTGAAACAATGCCTTTGGGTTTTGTAGGAGCACTGTGGTCCTCTGAAGTATTTGTAAAACATTTTTCCAAATCATGAAAACAAACTGTGAAGTCAGTTACCTCCACTTTATCCTCAGACCATGTTTTTATGAGTGGGTCTTTGACTGAAAGCCCTTCTACTGGTTGATGCCCATTGCTGGAACAGTTTCGGAATCAGACAGTCCTGTCTTCTTTGACTGACATTTCTCCAGTAACCACCCCTCTCACATACTGCTCTAAGGAGCAGGAAGAATCCGAACAGTCTGTGTAACACTCTGCCAGGAAATCTCAGCGACGTCACCCAGCTCTTTAGGTGCAGTTGTGTGCGGTGTGTGTGGGTCCAGCTCTTTAGGTGCAGTTGTGAGCGGTGTGTGGGTCCAGCTCTTTAGATGCAGTTGTGTGTGGTGTGTGTGCGTACATGCACATGTGTGATGGAGGCAGAGGACAGCCAACTGTCTCTTTTTTTAATGGAAGAAACCATTTATTTTGACTTGCAGTTCCAGAGGGGGAGTCTATAGAGGTGAAGAAGACATGACAGTGATTTTTGTAGGTTTTTTTTTGGGATACTCAAAGGCCTGGAATTTACCAGTGGGCTAGGTTAATCAGCCACCTCCAGGAATCTCTCTGCCTTCTCCCTGTTATGATAGCAAGCAGAAGTCACAATGTCCCGCTTTTTAAAAACTGCGTTCTGCAGATAAAACCCATGTCCTTGTGGTTACATAGCAAAGAGTAACCAACCTGCCAGCGTCCGCTTATTTGAGTTTGAAGATCTCACCCTCCACATGTGAGATCATGTCATGCTTTCCTTTCCGTGCCTAGCTCACTTCACTTAGCCCAATGGCGTCATAACCAAGGTTATCTTCTTTAGGGCTGAACAGCATTCCACATTTCAAGGCAGGCGAGAGTGCCGCACACCTTTAATTCCAGCACTTAGGAGGCAGAGGCAGGTGGGTCTCTATGACTTAGGGGCCAGCCTGATCTACAGAGTGAGTTCCAGTACAGCCAGGGCTGCACAGGGAAACCCTGTCTCGGAAAACAAATCAAAACAAAGCAAAACAAAACAAAAGACACAACGTTCCTTTGTCTGTTCATTCTTTGACAGTCATTTGGGCAGTTTCCGTGTCTTAGCGACTGTGAGCGGGGTGACTGTGAGCAGGGTAACAAACATGGGATGTCTTTTGGATACATGGACTTTGTTTCCTCTGTATCCCCAAGAGCGCAGTCACTAGAATGTATGGTTGCCTTATTTTAAACTTTTATTTTTAGAAACATCTGTACTCTTCTCTGTGATGGCCGTATGCACCAGGCGAGATTGTCACGAGGGTCTTATTGCCTATGGCCTGATTGACCAGGGAAACCACATGGCCACAGAGGACAACGCCCAGTATTTGTCATAGGAAGACACTCAACACTGGCTCACTGATGCCATCAACAAGTGTCACCCTTCGCATGACGATTGTCACTTAACTCTCTAAACCACTCACCAGTAGCTTACATCACAAGCTGCTACCATATCTACTTTCCGAGTATGCCAGTCACCTTAGAATAAATCCATCTCAGACAATAGAGACAAGAATTCCATATTTAATTTCCCTTGAATGTTTTGAATCTCCTAATAGGGACAAATGCAGTCATTCATTCAAGGGAAAAGCCTGTTTTGCTTTCTCTCTGTTCTCTCATTATCTAGACACGACTGCACATAGGACTCTGTGTGCTGCTGGAGCATTCCGGAGCCTGTGTCTTTGTTGCTGTGCGTTTATACCGTCGTCCCCGATGACATGCTGTGTGGGTTTCTCTGGAGGCCAAGGGGAAACAGAGAAAAGGGACAAGAGCAAAATACAAACAAGACAAAAAAACAAACTAAGAACCGAAAGGCAGGATGTGAGTGGGCACTGGAAGTGGGAGAAGATGCCAGCGATATTTTGGTACCGGTCAGAACAGGTTTGCAAACTTATGTGGAATGTGAAAGCCACTGTGTTTTGTTTCCGTTTCTATTGGGTTTTATTCCCTGCCACCTGTGGAATGGGACATCTTGGCAGGACCAGAAGGAGTGATTTCTTTCTCCATCAGTAGCTACTGGTCCATCCATTTTCAGGCCACCAACGCAGGTTTCAGCATAACACAGCAGTAGGAAGCAAAGGTTCAGAAGAGCATGGGCCCCTCGTTTCTGTGGAAACACACATGAGCCTCTCCAGGCTCCCAGACCCTTCATGCTCTGGCCCCATTACTAGTCTTGCTATAGACCATGCTAATTTGATGTTTGGGCCACGGTTCCACCTTAGAGTCCGAGAACACTATGACTGGGAAATTCTCAGAAGTCATGTGGTCCAGACCCATCCAGAACTGAGCAAAAATGAACGGGGAGATGAAGGCGTAAGTCACAAACAATCCCACACCAGTTTGGAATTAGATTATTAGAGAGGTTATTTATTTTAAGGGGGAAAAACTTAGAGATCACCGTCCCAGACAACAGCCCTCTGCGCAATCAGGAATGGAGCCTACTCGCAGGAAGCGGAGTGGGAAGCCAGAGGGAGCCCAAAGGGAAGTGGCCGCTTTTTTTTAAAGGGAGAGAGACCACGCCCCAGTGGGCTGGCATCTCAGTGGCTATTGGCTGAAGGAGCGGAAGGAGCTCCTGCAACAGGGAGAGTGGAGTCTAAGGGTGGTGTCGCGATAGAGCTTGGCTTTGCTTCCCATCCAGAGTGCATCATGTCACCTTTTCTTTCTCCTTGTGGTAAGGCCAGTTCACCAAACAGCAGATGTCGTCTGGGTTGCTCAGGAAACACCAGCTGCTGGGCGGGGATACAACGAAGGCCTCTCTAAACTGCTCCGCCTCTCTCTGCCATGAGCTGCTCTTTTCCTGGAAATGGGAATTCTGGGGTGTGTCTACCCTCACCAGGTCCTTCCAGATGTGTTCCAGTCCGTTTAGGCTGGAGCTCCCTCACAGCTAAAATACTGTGTATCTATTTTACCTGCTTAGAGTCACCCTAAAACAAAGCCCAAGCCTTCCTCTTGCCTCTGTTCACTCACGTTAGCTAAACCTCAGGGTGCTTCTGTGAGGAGGAGTCTCCAGCTGCATTCAGCAGTGGTATTTTTTCCCTCTAGTTAAAAGCATGGCATAAATTACTGTAATTCTATTGCTATTTGCTATTTTGGAGTTATTCAAGTGATTCATTTTGTTAGGGTGGTCCTAAAATATCCCATCATTCTGAGCGCGCGCGCGCGCGCGCGCACACACACACACACACACACACACACACACACACACACACCCCAGACATGTGATTTGGTAATGAGATACAGGCTGACATTTCTTTAGATTCAGGATTAGCAGACTAGCGTGCTTGTGACTTTCTCATCGAGGAATGAACTCAGGAAGTTGCAGGTGCTGCTGAGTGGTGACGTCAGCTAAATAACCAGATTCTCTTATGTCCCATCACTTATCAATTCATTTATTTGCTGAACGAATGAGTCCCACGTTCTCATTAGTTCTCTCCACCCGTGGTGCTTGGTCAAAGGACGTGCGCTCACTCTCCGTATCACTGGCTTCACAAACGAGCTGCCAATGTGTGGTCAGTACAAATTTCATCTCGGTACCCGATGGCAGCCGCTGGGACTGCCTGATGCCCGCTCCCGATGTGGACAGTGCGGAGGGGACACAGTGAGGAATGACAACAAAGCCATTTCCTGGTCACCGAAGCTCTTTGTCTTTAGTGCTCATCAAGAACGTGGCCAGCGCCAGCTGCCGTTCCGCAGAGTGACCAAGTGAAGGCCGCAATAACTGAGAGGTTTTATGGGCACTATAAAAGGTGTTAAACTGCAGTAGTGATTCCGGTAATTTATTGCCGGCTTCTGCTCCAGCTCACAGCCCAAGTTGTCCACATAATTACAACACAAAGGACTTTAGCAAAACGCTGGGATGAGGCACAGAAGAGGTTGATTCTCATTAAGTCGCCAAGGGAAGGGAGGGGAAGTGGCCAAGGTCAGCAGAGGCCATTCCAGGCTGACACCAAAGCATCACAGACAGGGGCAGAAGCTTCTAACTATCCCCCATGTCCTGAAGAACATGTGTCCGGGTGGATTACATAGCCCTCACCCCTGGCAGGGAAGTGCCTTAACATGAACAGAGTAAGGAGAGTAAGTGGCAGCTGTATGTGTAACTTATGAGTCTCCTGATGGGCAAAGACACTGACCTTGGCATTTCTGTCTGCCAGACAAGGCTTCAGAACCCCAGGAGATGAGGGAAGAAACAGGATGCTGGGAACTTGGGTCCCCAGATGGCTGAGTGGTACAGCGTCCCCTTGATCCTGGACTGCTCTGGCAGAAAAAGAGAAGTCACAATGAAGGCATCTTGCTGTCCCTTTGTCACGGCACTTGACCTGGAGTTGGCCTGTGCTCAGAGGATGCGAAAGAGCACTGTTTGCTGGGGAAGTCCTTGTGAGGAGAACGTGGAGGAACGGGCTGGGTGTGGTGGGAAAGGCACTACACAGCCAGAAGGCGGCAATGAGCTTTCTAAAGCCAGGACTGATCTTGTGTTTGGGCTATAGTGGCAGCATGAGCTATGTAGAGAGCCCCAGTCATAAAACGCCTGAAATGAGATCTGACCCCAGAGCAGAGCAAACAGCTGACGGTGCTTGTGCACTGGCCTCTAACAGCCTTGGTTTTGAATAAGCCACCAGGCATTGTCATAGGCTGCACCCCTGTTCTTCATTGTGTGCATGTGCCTCTATGTGTGTGTGTATGTGTGCGTGTGTGTGTGTGTGTGTGTGTGTGTGTGTGTGTGTTTTAGGCCATAGCCTTGGTTTGTTCTAGATTCTTTCTGTCCCAGAAGCCCTCAGTTATTGTCCACTGACCTTTGTACCACCTCAGAGTGTGTATGTGTGTGTGCGTGCGTGCATGTGTGTGTATAGGGGGCTCCCACTGGGTCCCCACACAATGTGCACTGCAGTTTGCCGGGCCATTCAGAAGTGTGCAGCCTTTTGGCTAAATCTAACAACTGTTCTATTTCCAGAAAAATAGAATTTCTCCCGCGACAATCAGCGTCTCTGCTGTATTATTCTCTGATGTTCCTGTGCCTCGTTTTTCTTCTGTTCTTTCTTCATTTCTATTTCCTTTTGCATTAATGGGGACTGAGCCTGGGGCCTCACAAATACTGAACAAACCTTCAACCACTAAGTGTACCCCAGCACCTCTAGACTTCACTTTTCATTTTCTGAAAAGCAAATTACTTTTAAAAATTAAGGAGTCAGAAAAAAAATCTTATTTCAGGAGTCAGGCTGGTAGAGCACACTTTAATCTTGGCAGTAGGAAGGCAGAGGTGGGGCAGACCCTTGTGAATTCAAGGCCAGTCTGGTCTACGCAGTGAGTTTCAGGGCAGCCAGAGTAATGTAGTGAGACCCTGCCTCAACAAACAAACAAATAAATAGATAAATCCCATTTCAATGGTTAAGCAAGCTATGCTTCTCACTCCCAAATGGGACGTCTTCATCAACCCTTCCCTTCAGGGCTCAGGGACCTATGCAGAAAAGGAGCTGGAACAATTATAAGAATCAGAGGTGATAGAGGACTCCAAGAAAAGTGTCTTCCAGACCCAGCAGGACCGACGCACATATGAACTCAGACTCGGCGGCAACATGCACAGGGCCGCACAGGTTTGAGCCAGGCGGGTTTCTAGTGCTGAGGGAAGAGTTGTCACAGGTCCCCACCCCTAACCACGTAGCTATTTTCAACTGGTTCCCGCTTATAAAGGAAAGATTAGTTTTCTCTAGCGTCTCGCTGGGTCTATGAGCCACACTCCAGTGCAGGCCCCATGCCCAGCAGTAGCTGGCCAACACAAAATGAACTCTGGTATTCTTCCTGACTTTTTGTCTCATATTGTTTGGGTATGCTTTTGTCTTATTGGTTTTTTTGCTTGCGTATTTTAGTTTCTGTTTGCATTTTTGTGGGGATTCGTGTGTGTGTGTGTTTCTTGGGTACTTTGTTTGCTTCCTGATTATAGTTTTAAAGAGAGAGAGTGAGGAGTGTGGATTGGGTGGATAGAGAGGTGGGGGAAATCTGGGAGGAGTAGGGGACCGGAAAGCATGATCACAGAATGTATCATATAGAAACCAATTATTTTCAGTAGAATGCCACCCAGATTTCCAGAAAGAAGGCTGTGCTCCATGTTTCAACGTCCCTATAAATTCTGTAACTGCCTAACTTCAAAGCTCTTCCGTCTGCTCCTAGAACACATCTGTCCAGTTATGCCGAATGCCAGCTCCTGTTGTTACCATAAAGTTTAAGTGTTCACCGCAGTAACGTATCTCTGGTTGCTAAATCCATCTGCCCTTCCAGCTTCTCGCCCTTCTGCCCCTGACTGCACCCTGGGAGCAAGCTGTAAATGTCTGTAAACTTCTTCAACCTGAGAGATCTTGGAAGGGAACCAGGTGTACAGGCAGCAGGAGGGATCATTCCCACATCCACTTACTGAGGCTTGCTAAGGGTTGTTTATAGAGGGCTGCCCCCTTTCCCCAGAGCCCACAGTCTCCATCAGGAGGCTGAGCTTCGGTCTCACACTACTCACTGCCTTGGATTCTGGCTCAGAT